TGTGTCCTTTTTCTATGCAAATCTTAAATAATGACACGGTATGTGAAAATTATTTGGTACGTAGGCTTCACAATTAGGACCAATCTTAGAAATTCACGAGCAATCCCCCCCTCCGTGTACTTTTTATTTTGGTAAATATACGTATTCGATACAGTGAAATTCTTACAGGTAAAAACAGCAATCATATTTCATTGTAGTGATACAAATCAAGATAATTAAAGCACAAAGGAAATGGTAACTAATTAACTACTTGTGTGCATAATGGTTCCAGGGGGTCTAACAAACCATTGAACTTGAAAGCTGAATCATTCTGATTTTCCTACATGATAGTGTTTGGTTTCTGGGTTAGTTTCAATGGAAGTTCAAAGGTTAGTGAAATACACCGAAGAAGAAGGAGAGAAAATGTATTCAAAAGATTGTGTCGATTCTATTCACTTCACTTACATACTGAAAACCTCTTCAGCATATATGACAGTTAGAGGAGTGAAAGACAATTCCACAACTCTATTACAAAGCATTCACAACCATTCATTCTTAAGTCATCATGTAAGATGCTTACAATTGTCATGAGTTATGACTCATTACAATCTAATCTAAATGCCATATGGAATATGATCCAAAGGCTCACATTTGAACACAACTTGCTTAAAACAAAACTATCACAGCAAATACATTTACATATCAATACTCCCTTCTAAATGTTTTGCTGGTTTCACTCCAAGTGCAGTCCTCAAATACTCAAATCGATCCTTGGGAAGAGCCTTGGTAAAAATATCTGCCAATTGCTCTTCTGTACTGCAATAACTCAGTTCAATTGTCCCATCTTGAATTGCATCCCTTATGAAGTGATACCTCATGTTGATGTGTCTTGTTTTCTGGTGGAATACTGGATTCTTGGACATGGCTATAGCAGAGGTGTTATCACATAGCAAAGGTGTAGCTTCCACTTGTTCTTCTCCAAAGTCAGATAGTACAAACCTCAGCCACATTGCTTGTGTTGTAGCTTCTGCAGCACTCACATATTCAGCTTCTACAGTGGATAAAGCCACACTGCATTGCTTGACAGAAGCCCATGAGAATATCCCTGAACCAAAACTAAATCCATAGCCCGAGGTACTCTTCATGTCATCCAAACTTCCTGCCCAGTCACTATCACAGTAGCCTATCCACACAACAGCTTTACCTTCACATACTCAATCCCAAAATCCAGTGTCCCTTGTACATATCTCAGAACCCTTTTAGCTGTCCTCATATGCTTCCTGGTAGGTTTCTGCATAAACCGAGCCAACAAGCATGATGCATACATTAAATCTGGTCTAGTAGCTGTCAGATATAACAGACTACCAATCATTTTCCTGTACAAACTTTGATCAGCATCCTCACTTCCATCTTCTTTAGATAACTTGTCAGTGATTGCAAGTGGAGTTTTCACAGCTTTACAGTTTTTTAAGCCAAATTTCTCAAGTAAGGACTTGGCATATTTCTTCTGATGAATAAATATGCCCTTCTCAGTTTGAATTATGCCCAAACCAAGGAAATGATGCAGCAATCCCAAATCTGACATTTCATATTGTTTCATCATATCCTTCTTAAACTCTTAGATCATTTCATCAGAACTCCCTGTATAGATAATATCATCTAAATCAGAGATACAATAAGCACACCTGCATCACTAAATTTAGTATACAAGCTAGCTTCACTTTGACTTTTCTTAAATCCAGACCTGTTGAAGTATGTATCTATCTTATCATACCAAGCTCTGAGAGCTTGTTTTAGACCATATAAGGCCTTTTTCAACTTGTAGACCTTGTCTTCTTGCCCTTTTACTTCGAATCCCTGTGGTTGATCCACATATACTTCCTCATGCAATGTACCATTTAGGAATGCAGATTTGACATCTAATTGGAACAATTTCCATTCCTTTTGAGCTGCCAATGCAATTAGAGTCCTAATGGTATCAAGCCTTGCCACTGGTGCAAATGTTTCATTGAAATCAACCCCAGGTTTCTGAAAGTAGCCCTTAGCCACTAATCGTGCCTTGTTCTTCTGCATTGAGCCATCCAGATTAAGTTTTGTCTTGTAAGCCCATTTTACACCAATTACAGGTTTGTCACTTAGCCTATTTACCAACTCTCATGTATCATTCTTTTCAATCATTTCAATCTTCGTGGACATAGCTTTTCTCCAAGCCTCATCCTTTGATGCTTCTTCAAAACACTCAGGTTCCATTACACAGAAATTGCATCTCTCATAAGCTTCATTCAAGCTCCTGAATCTGAGAGCGTATAATCATACTCTTGTGAATTAGTGTGATCCACTTGCTCTTCTTGACTTGAAGAAGAAGCAATAGTTTGATCATGTTGTTCCTGTAATGGTTCTGTGTACTCCACATTTCCTTCATACTCTTCATTCTCAACATTGCTCCATTCATTTCCATTAGCAACTGAAATAGACAGGTTCTTCTTAGCACAAGATTTCCAGTCATAGCAAGTATTCTCATATAAAATCACATCCCTAGAAATAACAATTTTCTTGCTTTCAGGATTGTACAACCTGTACCCCCTTTCACAGGTTCCATAACCAAGAAAAATGCATTTAACACTTGTTGCATCAAGTTTCTGTCTTATCTGTGATGGAACTTGTGCATAGCATAAAGATCCAAATACCCTTAAGTGTTTCACTCCAGGTTTCCTTCCACTATAGGCTTCAAATGGAGTCTTCTTGTTCAGAGCTTTGGTAGGACATCTATTGAGAATATAGACTGCAGTATTAACTGCTTCTGCCCAAAACTCAACGGAATGCCCTTCTCCAACAGCATGCATTTAGCCATTTCTACAATGGTCCTATTTCTCCTCTCTGCTACACCATTTGGTTGAGGGGAATAAGCCACTGTGAGTTGTCTTTCTAGACCAAGATCAGCACAAAATTGAGAAAATTCCTAAGAAGCATGCTCTTCTCACCTGTCACTTCTTAATTTTTTCAGTTTGAACCCATTTTGTAGTTCAACAGTTGCTTTAAACATTTTGAACACACTAAATGCCTCAGATTTGTTCCTGAGAAAATACACCCATCCCATTCTGGTACAATCATCAGTGAATGTGATAAAATACTTATTTCCTGCTTTGGTAGGTGTTTGCATTGGTCCACATATATCAGTGTGGATCAACTCCAATGGTAAAACAACTCTCCACTTGGTTTATTTGGGAAATGCATCTCTGGAATGCTTGCCAAGGGCATACCTTTCACATACTATAGTGTTCACTTTCAGCTCAGATAAGCCATTGACCATATCAAGTTCTTGCAGCTGCATTAGAGCATTTATATTCAAATGCCCTAGCCTTCGATGCCATATCTCAGCAGGTTGCCCAACACTAGCTCTCATGACAATTTGTATTCCTGGTTGCAACTTCAAAGGAAAACTTCGATTCCCTTTCATTGGGATCTTGACAACTAGATTAGAACATGTGAGATCATCATAGATTTTGACTTCAGCACCTCTAAATACCAGATAGTAACCATGCTCCATCATCTGTCCTACACTTAACAGATTCTCTTTTAAACCAGATACTAACATAATCTCCTTTATGTACCTTTTTCCAAGCTTAGTGTCAACCAATAACTCTCTTTTTCCAACCACATTGACCAATTGTCCTGTACCCATCTCAACTTTAGCAGTAACACTCCTATCTATGTTCACCAGTAGATCTTCTTTTCTTGTCATGTGATTACTGTAGCCACTATCAACATACCAAATATCTTCATTCTTTTTCACTGCAACAGACATACACACATAGAACATCGTTGGATTGTTCTCCACTTGTTTGACATAATTGGCCTGTTCAGTAACCTTCTTTGACCTGCAATCCTTGGCAAAATGCCCTGGCTTATCACAGTTATGACACTTTGGTTTCCCTTTGAACCAACACTCCCCAAAATGTAATTTATCACAATATCTGCAAGGATTCTTGGCTCCATAAGAGGATCCAGTGAATTTCCCTTGCTGATGTACATGTTTGTTATTCCACTTCTTTCCCTTGGTCTTCTAATTCTTGGTGGGTTTAAAATGTTGATTTGCATTATATATAGACTTCCTAGGAGTTATACTCAAACTGGAAAATGCTTTTCAGTATCATTTTCAGAATGTCTCTCCATCCGTTGTTCATACCCCTTTAGAGTAACAACAACATCCTACACATCAACAATTTCCAAATCCCTAGTATTCTTTATCACAACAACAATACTATCATAGGATTTTGGAAGACTTATCAATAATTTTTGCACAATTCTTTGATTTCCAATATCTTCACCATAACTTTTCATGTGTGTAATAAGATCAAATAATCGCACAAGGTACACAAAAAATGCTTCATGCTCTTCCATTCGAGTATATTCAAAATCACGCCTTAAACTTTGAAATTTTACAGATCTCACCTATTTGTCTCTAATAAACTCTTGCTTCAGTATATCCCAGGCCTCCTTTGCCGTCTTCAGGATGGCGATCCTTGGGAAAATCTCATCTGACACAGCTCCTTGAATAATCCCAAAAGCCTTAGCATCCTTGACTATGTTCTCCTTCAGATTTTTATGCTCAGCTGCAGTGATCTCTTCTTCTCTCTTAGCCGGAGGACTGTACCTTTTCTCAATCATCTCCCATAGATCGTGAGATCTGAAAATGGTTTTCATCTTGATCTGCCAGAAATCAAAATTTTCTCCATTGAAAATTGGTGCGCGGAGATCCGCACCACTCGATCCAGCCATATTAGACTTGTTATCGAATTACCCAGAAATTTTCAGAACTTTCTTCAGTCACAGCAGAACCCAATTCTTGGTCGAGTTCCTTTGCTGCCAACCACGTCACAGTTTCACGCCCAGCTCGAGATCGAACCTGGCTTTGAGGCCATGATAGTGTTTGGTTTCTGGGTTAGTTTCAATGGAAGTTCAAAGGTTAACGAAATACAACGAAGAAGAAGGAGAGAAAATGTATCCAAAAGATTGTGTCGATTCTATTCACTTCACTTACATACTGAAAACCTCTTCAGCATATATGATAGTTAGAGGAGTGAAAGACAATTCCACTCACCCTATTACAAAGCAATCACAACCATTCATTCTTAAGTCATCATGTAAGATGCTTACACTTGTCATGAGTTATGACTCATTACAATCTAATCTAAATGCCATATGGAATATGATCCAAAGGCTCACATTTGAACACAACTTGCTTAAAACAAAACTATCACAGCAAATACATTTACATATCAATAACAAGCATAAATGAAAGGGAACCATTTTTTCCCATTGCAACAGCAAATTAAGACATTAAGACAACTAATTTTTTTTTCCTACGAGCATAATTCAGTGGAACTTTTACGTGTAACCGATTAAATCAAATAAATTCTACCAACCAACCGAGATGATCTTCACATTCCACGGTTTCACAATCTTTGCTTATTCCACACTATCATCTTCGAATCGCATGAAAAACCCCATAACTACATTATAAGACAACATACACAAACAACACAATCCATATCAGCTAGAATGCGCTTTCAAAAACATAAAACAAATTCAGAAAGCTACAATCTCAATGACCAAGATAACAATTTCTTAGTGCAATTAAAACCTTAGAACTGAAAGTTCCACTTACTCTTATTGAAAATCTTAGTAAGACGAAAACCACCACAACTTAGTCCCAATCCTTCGCCTTCAATGTCGAGGGTTTATCCCTAACCTCATAAGCAGTCACCACTGGATCCCTATCGTTGCTAAACTTCTCCTGCACTGTCACACAGTCCGACTTCACCCTCTTCATCTGCTTCACCTTCACATCAGTCGGTATATAAACCCCATCTTCCAAAAACTCCTTCACACTGTAAATCATAATCAGCGTCTGAAACGCACTGGGCACCAAAAAGAGCAATCAAACACTTCATTTACAAAGAGAACTGAAAGACCATTCCGTAAGTATGAAACACTGAGTGAGTGTGTGTGTGTGATGCTTTGTCATTGGGGGATCAATGTTTGCATAAAGAAAATGGTTTCATCAAACGGAGAAAGAAAAGGTCATGCAGATAATATTGATTGATCATTAGCCAAAAGCTTTGGGACATGCAAAGTTAATGATTGAGTTGCAAGTAATCTTTCCATGAGTTGGTCATATATATAGATAAATGGTCCTCATGATGATAGGGTCTTTGAAGGGTAGCTCGTGAGATAAAAAAAATTCAGAATTAAACCCATAAGATGAAGTTTGTTAAGAATTAAGCCCAAAATCAAAATTCTCGTTAGTTTCTCCATTAAGCTTTTTTTTTATTTCATTTTCTTTTTGTGTTTAAGTAAAGAGATTAGAATCATAAGAATAGTGTAACTGTAAAGGTGTAAAGACTCAAGATCAAAATGAAGCTTCAGATGGTGACACTTGTCAAGGGATTAAGGAATGTAATAGTTAGTCTGTTAGATTACTTAATGTGTAAGAAAATAGAATTGTATAAATACCAACTTGTACTGTTAAATTGAGTTAGTTAACAAAAGTCAATGCAAAAGCATTTCTTGTTGTAAAATCGACGGTGTGTGCAGTGGAATAAATAAACAAGACACAAGATTTACGAGGTTCCTCTATAGTCAGTGTGACTGGAGTACGTCCTCGAGGCAGCATTGGTGCTTTATTAATAATCTGGAATAATAATAGTACAAAGATAACTTTCTCTATTATCTCCTCTCCCCTTCTTCTCTTTTCTCTCTTCCTCTTCCTTCCTCTCTTTTCTTTTTTTCTTTTCCTTCCTCTCTCTCCCGTGAGCCTCTCACATTAATCTACTATCCTTTTGTTGTGTTCTATAAGACTTGCTTTTATAGAAGCAAATCACAAGCAGTATAGTAAAAGGCAAATGAGTAGGTTAGCGGCCAGCCATCCATTCACCTTTACAACATTTCTCAGTTTCTCTCTCTAAAAGTTCTTCAACTTCTCTCCCTTTTCTTCTTCTGATTCTATCTTACAGTAACCTCTTTAACATTTCTCATCAATGTTGTTCCAGAAATTTACTAGCTCAATCTAACCAAGAACAAGCTTGAATTCTAATAATCCTATTCGAGAGCAACAGTGAATCAAATTCTTCGAGCACTTTTTTGATAAATTTGTCATTTTTCTCTATTAAACAAAACTTGATTTTATAAATAGATGAATTGAATCCAAATTTTACTTGTTAGATTAGAACCTAAACAATCTTTGGCTCGAAAATTCATATAGCTGCTTGATTATACCATATTTAGGGCATCCGTATTTAGATCTCGTACAAATACTCGGAGGACTTAAATGTAATTATGTAATAAAGGAATGGGCAAATATGTAATAAGTGAGGAGCCCTTATTCTATAAAAGGACTCATCACCCTCACAATAGGGGGATGCCAATTCTTAGGCCATGGAAGGGCTCTCTCCCCCTCATAAGCTCTCTCCATCTCTCTCCCTCACAAACTTAGAAATACAATATCAGTGTGAACGTAGCCCAAACCTTGGGGTGAACCACGATACATCTTGTGTTATTTACATTTCTTGCATATTCACGGTCGAATTTACGTTGTTCCAAGACCTCCGGTTTTGTGTATCAACATTTAGCGCCGTCTGTGGGAATCGACACAAAAAGCTACGTCGGTTCTCTTTCATTTTTTTCATCTCACCACCATGAGACCTCACCACACTCCACCGTGAATATGCAGAAACCTAAGAACCAAACACCACACCAATATTCTGATTTGTCCTCGTCATTGCCAGCACTAAAGAGGAAAAGAGAAGAGCTGGGATAGAATACAGCAATCAGCAATGCCAAACTTGGTCCTCCACCGCCCACCATTCACCCATTTCCTTTCCTACCTCCCATCATCATCATCATCATCATCATCATCATCAAGCTTTCCAATTCGGACCCAGAAATGAACGGCCTCGTTTCCCCTAACAAAGCATGCGGTTCTGCTCCGTTGTCGGCCCAACACTATCAGGTGCATGGTGAACCCGCGCAGAGTGGCAATGGTGGCTAAGCAGATAAAGAGGGAGCTGTTTGACATGCTCTTAACTAATGAAGTCTTGCAGTACGCTATTCTTCCTGAGGTTTCTTTGGGTGCTAACCGTTACCTCTCTTCGCTAACCACCATAAGCGATGTTGAAGTCTCCACTGACTTGCAGGAAACCTTTTTAATGAATCAGTTGTGGGGCAGAACTTTGAGCTGGAAAACCCATGGATGTAGCGCTGGAGTGCTGGTCGGCCGAGCGAGCACGAACGAATAACACAGCCGAGCAAGGTTAGTAGGGTTTTCTCCCTTTCAATTCATGCTCAGGGGCTTCAGGGTTTTCTAAGTGGTAACCGGGTGGTGAAACCCTACACGAGTTTTGAAAACGAGTGAGTTGAATTGGGTTTCGGGTCTTGCGGGTTGGTCATGAATAATAATGGCACTGAAGGGTTTGAAGGGATGGGTAATACTCTCAATAACAACATTTCCAAGACTTTTAGCTGCCCGCCCACTATAGCCGCCGAGAAGACGTCCAGCGACACCGTTTTGTCTCAAAAGCTTAGCTTGCCTGCCGGGAAAGAAAGCTTTAAGAAGATGAAGGCTGATAAGGTGCAGATCAATAAGCCAATTCCAGATGGACACTTTCTGCTGAAGAGAGCAAGATCTATTGAATAGATTTGCTATGGAAGTGTCACAACGTCAAAAACAGGGAGAAAGCAAAAGGAGAAAGCCATCATTTTCTGATTTTTGAGAAAGCAAAAGGTGAAAGCCATCATTTTCTGATTTCTGAGAAAACAAAAAGAGAAAGTGCTCGCGGTTTGCATGTGAAATCATTTTCTGATTTCTGAGAAAGTAAAAACCATCTGCAATCTGAAGACTCCACTGATTTTATCGGCAAAAGCAGAAGGGGAAAAGAGACATTTCACATGATTTCCTTGTCTACCATTTGCAAAAGAGAAAAGAAAATTATAGGCGTGACCCATTGAGCAGAGGGTTGGATTTTATTTTTGAGTGATGTAATTTATTTTTCATATCTTTCGGAGACATCTGTATAAACCCCATCAGAGGGTAATATTTTAAAAAAAGAAAAAAAGCGGCAAGCCCAAAATAAATGGGCTGGAATGTTGTGTGGAGGGCGAAGGTCCATAAGCCCAAAATAACACCAACCAGGTGACCAAAACTACGTCCAGTACTACAAAAATTATTCGGCACCCTGCCGCTATTATCACCAACTAGGTGACCAAAAGTACGCCCAATACTACAAAAAATTATTCGGCACCCCGCCACTATTATAGCCAACCAGGTGATTAAAAGTACGCCCAGTACTTCAAATTATACATGAGCTTTACTCATATCAATCATACATAAACATTCATGAGCATTACTCATATCAATCATACATAAACATTCATGAGCATCACTCATGTCAACATCCATGAGCATCACTCATGTCAATTAACATAAACATTCATGAGCATCACTCATGTCAATCAGCTTCAAAAGCTTCATTTACAAAAGCTCTAGCTTCAAAAGCTTCCTTTACAGAGCTCTAGCTTCAAAAGCCTCATTTACAAATTCATTTACAAAAGCTCTAGCTTCAAAAGCTTAATTTACAGAGCTTCAGCTTTAAAAGCTTCATTTACAAAGCTCTAGCTTCAAAAGCTTCATTTACAGAGCTCCAGCTTCAAAAGCTTCATTTGCAGAGCTCTAGCTTCAAAAGCTTCATTTACAAAAACTCTAGCTTTAAAAGCTTCATTTACAAAAGCTCTAGCTTCAAAAGCTTCATTTACAGAGCTCTAGCTTCAAAGCTTCACTTGCAAAGCTTCACCTATAAAGCTTTAGTGCAGGGTATACAAATACCGCCTTCGAACAACCGCCACTTCGGCCCATACATGGATTCAATTTGGAGTCTTCAGCTAACAGACTCTATTGACCGAAGACTTGGGGGACTACACTATACACCATATATTGGGCCTCAACTGGGACTCATGAAAAATACTTGGGGGACTCTAGCCCATAATTTATGTATTGAGGAGCGAGCCTTTATTCTATAAAAGGGATTCCCTCACTCTCATTAGAGATGACTTATTCTTCATGTATTGAGGAGCAAGCCCTTATTTTATAAAAGGGACTCCCTCACCATCATTAGAGAGCATCGCCGCCTACTGAGCAACTGCCTCGCCACGAGCATCGACTCTAGCCCATCATTTATGTATTAAGGAGCGAGCCCTTATTCTATAAAAGGGACTTCCTCACCTTCAACGCCATAAGCCGAGTTAACCAAGGCAACATAAGCCACAAGCAGAGCAGCCTCGCAACATGTGCTACTTCAAGTTGAGCATCATTTCACTTTAAGCACCGCCTCATATCAAGTATCAATTCAAGACAACATCTAGCTACTTCGGCCCATACATGGACTGAATTTCAAGTCTCTAGCCAAAATACTCTCTTGACTGAAGACTTGGGGGACTATTGTTTATACCATATTTAGGGCCTCCGTATTTAGATCTCGTACAAATACTCAAGGGACTTAAATGTAATTATGTAATAAAGGAAGGGGCAAATATGTAATAAGTGAGGAGCCCTTATTCTATAAAAGGACTCCTCACCCTCACAATAGGGGGAGGCCAATTCTTAGGTCATGGAAGGGCTCTCTTACCCTCAGAAGCTCTCTCCATCTTCTCCCTCACAAACTCAGAAATACAATATCAGTATGGACGTAGCCCAAACCTTGGGGTGAACCACGATACATCTTGTGTTAATTACATTTCTTGCAGATTCACGGTCGGATTTACGTTGTTCCAAGACTTCCAGTTTTGTGCATCAACACTGCTACTAAAAATATTTTACTAAAATAATCTACATAATTCTAGTTGCTCAGCAAAATCGAGAGACTTGGGTCATTGAATTTCCCTTTCATTTCCTATCCCATGGCATCGTGTTTGCTCTATCCAAGTGAAAAACAAAAATTCTATAAATAAAACTTATAATTTCAAACTTCATAGCAATGATATGGTAGATATGTACAAAGAAATGAATTTTATTCCTTGTGTTTCCCTTCAGCCGTTAGCATCCCAAGTGCTCTTTGTCACGCCCCGATCCCAACATACGTCGAGAATCGACACGTGACAAGGAAAATAACGTCCTTTGAATACGGTATAAGTTAAGGAATAAAATACTTTAACTGATAAACCATAATAGTATGAAGGTGGCTAAGTTCTCCACTAAATATTTACAAATATGTACATCCCAAAAAGAAGCATAATCTTTGCTTTACTAAGAACAAGATTGAGGTGTTCAAAGAAAGTCCCAAAGATAAAGTACAAGATAGGATATAGGGGTAACCTAGCACTCCAAGTCTCTGATAACTATACCGCTACCCCACCTACGAACCTCTCGAAGCTACTCAGACTTGTTACCTGTAAGATCAGTGCCTACACCATCGAAATGGTGCACCGGGCAACCAGCAACCCGGATAAGCTACGAAGCTTGTGTGAGCAATAAATAATACAAGTATATGATACTAATAATAAAGCCAACCATCATTCACAATTATAAACCTTGAATATAAATCATTTATAAGAAATCGCTACCAAACCTTGCAACCTCCGAAGGGGTCACACATACATCCAACGAGTTTTCTAAATCAAAACTCAGAGTTCTCAAAGCCACATTCACAGATATATTCAAAACTAGATTTAGAGAGACGTCGTTCGGCCGAAGCCTACGCAAATGACCAAATAGGGAGTGGCCCTCCAAAAGGGATCAACCAAGCAAAGCTACCCCTAAGAAAGTAATCAAATAGGTAGTGACCCCCAAATGCGGATTAACCAAGCAGAGTCACCCCTAAGAAAAAAACCAAATAGGTAATGACCCCCCAATGCGGATTAACCAAGTAGAATCACTCCTATAACTATTGGAAGGTGATCATCCAATGCGGATTAACTAAGCATGATCATCTTGAAATGTGTATGGCCATACCTAGACTATAAGGATCGCCCAACGCAGATTAACCAAGCACGATCCACAAATAGTATGGTCCCCTAACGCGGATAAACCAACCAGGACCATCTAGGACCATTGCTACGTGGTGTAGACTTAGTGTCACCTAACCCCATGACACTAGGGTAATGGTCCTTCACAATCCACCATTTTTATCATCCATCACATATATATCCCAAAACACAATCCATCATTTTTATCATCCATCACATATATATCCCAAAACACAATCTATCATTTTTATCAACCATCATATATATATATATATATATATATATATCCCAAAACACAATCCATCACAGTTCAAATATCCAAGTCACCTAATGTTTCAGAAGTAGATCGACGGGAACTTACTAGCAACAATTATTTAACATCAGAACTATTTTAAGAATCCATAGTGTAACCACAAAGTTTATTAGCACAAAATATTTCAAAGCAATAACCATAACACATAGATTAGAATCACTCATCTGAGATCCTCACTAATGCACTCAAACATGAGAGCCAAGGCATCACGTTCTATCATCACCTAACAATGTACAAACCACATTTAGATTTCCTTCGATAATTCACCTACTTAAAACTCTTATATATTTCCCACAACAACATTTAATGAGGAATCAAACCGTCATTCTAATGTAAAGTCCATGATCTTACGTCATTTGCTTCGTAAAATCCAATCACTAGATTTTCACTTATAAGTCCCTAAGGTCCTTAAATATTATTTACCATAGCATACTAAAAGTGGTGTCAATTCAATGGTAAGATCATAAATCGCTAGAATAATCAAGTGGTGGAGCTTATCGATAAAATACTCAACCAACAACATTTTTATAAATCGAATGTCAAAATTTGACTTTCTCCAAAAATTCTCAAATTTTACAGGAATAAAGATTTCAACAAGTAGAGTAAATTTTATACCTGTGGTCGATTCTAATTTGGCCAGGAAGGCCCTCAAATTGGCTCGCACCTAACGAAACCCTAAGGTAGGTGTCCTTCAATTCGGCTTCCTTGGTGTTCCAACGCCCCAACCACCAGTTGGATCTTGTTCTTGGGTCCAAGGGAAATTGATTAAGGGTGGTGGTGGGTGGTGAGACTAGCCGGAATGGCGGAATCGCCGTCAAAACTCCTTGGGTCACTCGCACGGTTTTACACTATTTTGGACCTAAAACCCCTCAAATTTGGGTGGAGATGGAAGATGGGAGATGGTGGAAGAGGTTGCAGGTGATGGATGGTTGAATTTCTCCTGAAAAAATGGTGGAAATGGTCGAAACCCACTCCGGTGGGCATGTGTAAATGGGTCGACGGAAATGGAGGGTAAAATCCTCTTTTTCCTCTTTTTGGTCATTCCTTCCTATGGTCCTTTCTCCTTCTTAAAAAAATCTGATGTGTCCCCTTTTAAGGTTGTTGACTAATCTTTTTCCACCACATAAAATGCCCAATTCCACTTATAGTAGCCGGTCCATTAATCAAAAAAAGTTTGGGCCTTTTCCCCATAAGTGGAAATTAGAATAATTCCCACAATCTATATTTTCACTACTTCAAACGTCCGTAACTATACCTTTATAATTCGAACTCGCAAACGGCTTTCGTCTATGCGTTCAGAGGTTCGAGATCTATTTAAAAACACTAGTTGTAACTTCGAAATATCAACGAAAGATAAAGATTGATTATGAAATTTGCAACTCGATAACTAAACAATTACTAAACTTAAAATTAATGGAATTAAAATTAACTAATAAAGTTAACATAAGCGCGAAATACGAGTTTTAAATACGAGATACGTAATAATTGGTGAAATTCCGGGGATGGAATTTCACACTCTTTATGGAGGCAACAATCAAGTTGATTCCAAGCTATGGTTGGCTGCTTTGCAACTAGCAGTGGCAGCGGAGTAAGCTTGGATGTTTAATGTGAAGCCATGGCTAATGGGGTTAACAAAGCGATAATGAAAATTTTATTTTTGGGCTAAAGTCCTAATAGAGTCCACAACAAGGATTAATTTTTTTTTATTTTTTTTTGTCATGAATGTAACCTTCCAACTACCTCGTTACCACAAGAATTATTTATCCAATTAGACCAACAAACTATGATATGTGATGGTCAATTTGGTAATGGAAATAAAATCAATATTTTTGCACCATTATAATTAATTCGAAATAGAATTGTAAAAAGGTGATACATGCACTCTTATGATTTAGGGTTATATGATTTGCTTATGATCATGTCAATATTGGGGGCTTGGTCAATGTTAATTTTAATTTAGTGGTTGTAATAAGAGATTATCACAGGGCACATGAACACTTGTTCACAAGTCATTTGAGGCATTATTTTTTATGAGAAATCATATCGGGAGAAATCAAACACATATTTTGAATGCATGGATAATTCCTATTATTAGTCAACATGAAGTTGAATTAAAGGTGTAAGAGAAAGTGGAGGTGATTGGCACCACCTTGTCACCACCCATTCGGTTGGCATTGATCTCTTTTTTGCAAGAGAACACTGAGGTCTTCGCCTGGTCATACGAGGACATGCCAGGCATCTCTCCCGATATCATCTGTCATCACTTAAGTATTGACCCCAAGACCAAGCCAGTGAGACAGAAGCGAAGATCTTATGATGCTGAACGGTACGAGGCAATGAAGGTAGAAGTTGAAAAACTCAAAGGCATAGGCTTCGTCCGCGAAGTCAATTATCCAACGTGGGTAGCAAATGTTGTCCTTGTTAAGAAGAATCCGACCAAGGAAAGTCTCATGCTCCAAAAGGTATTGTGGAGAATGTGTGTCGATTACACCGACCTAAACAAAGGATGCCCGAAAGATAGCTTTCCTCTTCCTCTCATAGACAGACTTATAGACTCTACAGTAGGGTGTGAACTTCTGAGCTTCATAGATGCTTACTCAGGATACAACCAAATCCTCATGAAGCTTCCAGACCAAGAACACACAACCTTCACTACTGACAGGGGACTATATTGTTATAAAGTCATGCCCTTCGGCCTAAAGAATGCAGGAGCAACTTATCAGAGACTAGTCAATTCAATGTTCGTCGAACAGATTGGGAAGAGTATGAAAGTTTATGTTGATGATATGCTAGTCAAGAGCAAACATGCTGACCAACACATCACCAACCTATTTGAAACTTTCACCATTCTGAAGAGGTATCGAATGAGGTTGAACCCCAACAAATATGCCTTCGGCGTAGGCTCTGGAAAATTCTTAGGCTTCATAATAAGCCAACGAGGCATTGAGGCTAATCCCGAGAAGATCAAAGCAATCCTCGACATGAAGGAACCGGTAACTTCAAAAGACATCCAGAGCCTTACTGGCAAGGTGGCAGCCTTAACTAGGTTCATCTCTAAGGCCACAGACAGATGTGCTCATTTCTTCAAAACACTTAAAGGAAGTAAGAAGTACATTACATGGACTGATGAATGTGCTGAGGCATTCAAGAACCTCAAAGACTACATGAGTAAAGCATCTCTGCTCTTCAAACCTGAGGTTGGTGACACTCTCATTATCTAACTGTTGGTATCGGCTTCAACAGTAAGTTTCGTTCTCATTTGAAAGGATGGTAATGTCGAATGACCTGTCTACGATGCTAGCAAGGCCTTGCAAGATGCAGAGACACGAAACTTCAGAGAAATTGCCTCTAACATTGGTCATGTTTTCTCAAAAACTTCGCCCTTACTTCCAAGCACACTATATCATCGTGCTTACCAATCATCATCTTCAACAGATACTCTAAAGTCCTGACACTTCGAGGCAAATGATAAAATGGGCGATAGCATTGGGTGAGTTTGACATCTCCTACCAACCAAAACCAGCTAAGAAGGGCCAAACAGTGGCAGACTTCATCGCTGACTTCACATATCCTGTTGACATTGTTTTTATGCCTAAAGAAGTGGTTTCATTGCCCTTGGAAGCTCATAAAATAGAACCAACAGCCCCAGCATGGAGTCTATATGTTGATGGCTCGTCTAACCAACAGGGTTGTGGAGTAGGACTAGTCCTTACGACCCCTGAGAAAGTAGCGATGGAGTATGCTCATTGTTTCAAATTCAAGGCGTCGAACAATGAGGCCGAATATGAAGCCCTCATAACAGGCTTACGTTTAGCCAAACACCTTAGGGTTAAACGAATTGATATCTTCAGTGACTCCCAATTGGTGGTTAATTGATAAGCTCATATTTATATATACTTTACATCAAATTCACTTGTCTTTTCTTAGTTAGGTCCTTATTTTTTAAGCTATTTACTTTGTTTTTGTGTTTTCTAGGATTTGTCAAGCAAATAAAAGAAAAATAGCACAAGTTGGAATTAACAAATTCGTCAAAACTGCCTGTGCAGGTCAGCTGACTGTGGAAGCAAGTTGCGAACAGCTCAAAATGATTTAGAGAATTAGCCTTATATTCTTGGAAAGCTACGGATGTCTATTTTCTGGAACATTTCGCGGATTGTTAATAGCATTTTTGTAGAAGAAGTTAAGGCCATTTTAACACTAAAAGGTTCACAAGAGACTGGGCAGTTTGTAACTGCAATGAAAGCAATAAACCCAATAAATCTAGCAGCCAAAACTGAAGAAATTGCAACAAACCCTATTCAAATATCAGAGGAAATGAAAATAAAGATGAGGATTAAGTGGGAGTAATTGGCATAAAGGCTACCCAAAGAGTTACAATTGTTTTACCATTTCCTCTCACTTATTGTCATCACTAAATGGCTGTTAGTGGGGTGAGTTATGGAGCAGAAATGGGGCAGCAAGCATGGGCATAAAGGCTGAGGTTGCAGCGGCAAAAGAGGAGTTTTTTTTAGGAAAAAAAGATAGGAAAAAAAGGAAGGAAAGGAAGAAAAAAAGGCAAGGCTGCTGCGTTGAGAAAGGAAGGAAAGGAATGAGGAAATCTTGGCATTCTCTTCTTTCGGTTTTATCTTCTCAAACTCATGTCTTTCTTTTGGTTTAATTTGAGAATTATGTGTAACTAAATTTTTAGAAGTTAGGGACTGTTTTGAAGCCCCGAATATGATTGCAAGTTTGTTATGACATTTCGTTTGAATTACTTTTATGAATGGATGAAAATTGGTTCACTACTTGTCTCATTGATGAATTCTTTATTTGTTTTCTATGGATGCATACTTAGTAAGCATATCTAGGATTCTAATGCTATGAATATGTGTGTGCCTGCCCTTGTCGAATGAGGACTTACATATGTTCTAGAGTAGTACTTGTTAATTGCGATTAACATGTGAACCAATTTCTAGGATAAGTAAGACAACGCCAGTACTTACGATACCTTGTGATGACTCAAACTCTTTTCGTTCTTAATGATTTCTACTTGTTAAATCTATGAACACACCATTCTAGATTGCATGCTAGAGACTAAGTTAAGTTGAAAACGTCATTCTCTTAACATACTACGTAAGAAAGAGTAATTGGTTGAGTTCTAACATTGAGCCAACTTGAGCATCTTCATCCGGAAATAAAAGGAATTTGAATGAAACATAACATGTTTGCATGATTATTTGGTGGTGGATAGCAATTCCCCTAACTCGTTTTTCTTAATTTGTGAACTACTTAAAATTTATTTATGTCCTGTTTTTGTTCAATTTAATTTAAATAGCAAATCAACTCCAAAAATCCCAAAAATTTGTAGGAGTGTAGTTCTGTGTGTCTAGTATCTTCATATAAACTTTCGTAGAATTTAGATAAGTGTAATAATTATTTTTCGGTGGCTGGTCAGTAGGGACAACAACCAGTTTTTGTGACATTTTAAGTAGTTAGATAAATCAATCTTCTGCGGGAAAGACCCTTATTTTCATATGCTACAATTGACAAATCTTAGTGTTAATAAGGAAAATAAATAGGACATTTGTGTGCTACTTTGTGGTGTGCTTTTAATCTTATCATTAACCAGGTCACCAACAACTTTGACACTAAGGATAGCTCCATGGCAGCATATCTGGCACAAACACAATTATTGCTCAAGCACCTCCACTACCAGATCACCCAAATTCCTCAAGCGGCAAACAGTCATGCAGATGCTTTGGCTCGCCTCACCTCAGCGGTGGAAGACAAGATTGGGAGAAAAATTCAGGTTGAATTGTTGGCAGCACCAAGCACCATGGCTGCGGAAGTGTGCAACTTACAACAAGGGGATAATTGGATTACCCCAATTTATAGATTCCTTGCTCATGGCACCCTTCCAAATGACAAAGTCCAAGCTAAGCAGATTCAATACAATGCTACCCGTTTCTTAATCATTAATGACCAACTCTACAAGCGGGCTTTTAACCTACCATACCTAAGATGCCTTAGGCCCGCAGAGGCGAAAATTGTGCTTCGGG